AAGTGCTGGGTACAATGACGCATTCATTATTTTTTTTCTCTTTCGAGTAGGCGCCGCGAGATGTTTCAAAAGTGGTGGGTACAAAATCGACCCTGGCAAAAAGTGGTGGGGACATGCATACATATCTATCATATCATATCTCGTGGCTCTTACTAAGCGACCTGCCACAAGATCTCTCACTGTTTACGTGAACCAGACACTCTGAGAGCATATAAAGTGCAATCCATCTCTTATTTACTTTTTTTTACATATTATCTTATATTTTATTCGCTCTTTTGCCCGTATTGGAGCGCATCTCGTGGCTCTTAAGCGTCGGGCCAGCCACAAGATCTCTCACTTTTCTCATAGCCTACCAGACACTCCGATTGATGCACGAAAACACAGAGACAACGCAACCCTGCACTTATTTAGGCTACCCTTTTGTCATCTTATCTTATATTTTATTAGCTCGTTTGTCCCATAATGGAGCACGTTTCGTGGTGCGCCAGTCACAAGATTTCGCATTATTTCTCATAGTTGCGTGATTCTCCGATTGACATTCTGAAGGAGAATGATTTTGACCACTCCATTAAGTTTGTTTTTTTTAATAAAGCCTTTCTTTAAAGTGAATTTCGTTTTTAATAAATGGCATCTTGATTTTAATCAATGTTTGATCAACCAATTCCCAGGATTTAATAAATAAGAAGCAAAGCAAACATAGGCATAGCAATAAAATCATGAACTTTTTGCTTTGCACGTTTCTCAAAGACATGATAAATAGGCTACATCTAGAAAGGTAGAAATGTCTAGCCTAATTTTAAACAAAACAATTCAAAAGGAAAATAAATAGATTATTCTACTCTCAGATTATATTTAATCCATATGAAATGAGCATTTCTCTCGGCGCGTTCACTACTGCGAAGATGGCTCCAATACGGGCAAAAAGAGCAAATAAAATATAAGAAAAAATTACAAAAAGGTAGATAAGAGATGGATTGGACTTTATTTGCTCTCATCTGAGTGTCTCATGTAAACAGTGAGAGATCTTGTGGCAGGCGCGACGCTAGGTGACGCGCACGCTCCATTATGGACAAAAAGAGCAAATAAAATATAAAATAAGATGACAAAAAAGATACTTAAGGGATTGCAGGATCGCACTGTCTGTTTTCACATGTGCATCAATCGGAGTGTCTGATGGGTGTAATAAGAGATCTTGTGGCTGGTATGGCTGGCGATGCTTAGAGCCACGACCCGTTCGCATAAAAAGAGCGAATAAAATATAAGATCAGACGATAAATGGGTAAATGAGATCTGTATTGCACTATGTGTGCTTTCGTGTAGCTACCATTAGGTGTAAATAGAGAGAGATCGTGTGGCTGGTGTGGCCGGCGCGACGCTTAATAGAGCCATGCGAGCGCACTCCCATACGCATAAAAAGAGCAAATAAAATATAATATAAGATGACAAAAAGGTAAATAAGAGATGGATTGCACGTTATTATACGCGCTCCAATACGGGCAAAAAGAACGAATAAAATATATGATCAGATGATAAATGTGTAAATAATATCTGTATTGTACTGTATGTGTGCTCTCGTGTAGGCCTACCATTAGGAGCGTCTGATAGGTGTAAACAGTGAGAAATCTTGTGGCTAGGCAGGTGAAAAGCGTTTGGTTAATGGTGAATATTGACCTATTGTGCGTACCGTTCTGTCGGGGAATATGCGCTGCATTTACTGTAAATATTGTGTAAGTTCGAGTGGCAGGCGCTATATAATGCAGTGCATATAAGGCACATATATCCGTGGCCGGTCGAGTGGCAGATCCCCCTGCCAGGCAAAGATTTTATCCCCTCTAAAAAAGCTGCTGGCGAGTGGCGAACATGACTTCTTTGTCAGAAAGATGTCGTTGGTGTAGACACTTGTCAATCAAACAGGTCTGAGCAACAGAGAAACACCCGCCCACTGCGGAACGTTTGTCTCAAAATGATTCAATCAAAAAAAAGTTTGAACTTCAAAACTTTTTGCACTTCAAAAAAAAAAAAAAGGATTCAATCAAAACAATTTGAAATTCTAAATTTTTTTCACTTCAAATAAAAAACAAAAACAACGAAAACACACATTCTCTTCAATACTTTTTTTATACACGAGGTAAATATTTTTTTTTTTGCTTTTGAAAAGTTTTTTCTTTGATTGAAAATATTTTTTTTTTTGATTGAAACAACTTTTTTGGAATTGAATGATTAAGACACAAATGTCCTACCCATGTATGGCCCAAACACAAAAAAGATTACTTCAATCAAAGAGAACATTTTCAATTAAAACAAAAGGTGTTCAAATGCAATTTTTGGAGTCTCAAATATTTTATTTGCATTCAAAAATGATTTTCTATATTTGAAAATGTTTATCTTTTCATTGAAGTGACTTTTGTATTGATTCTGTTGTTTGTTTGTTTGAAGCAACTTCTTTTTTGATTGAATGATAAAGACACAAACGTCCTACCCATTATATGGTCCAATCAAAAAACAATGTTACTTTAATTAAAAAGGTTGCTTTAAACAAAAAAAAACGGACTTCTATCAAAGAAAACATTTTCAATCAAAGAAAAGCAGTGTTCAAATGTATTTTTTTGAGTCTCAAATATATTTTTGGATTCAAATACTTTTTTTCTTTGATTGAAAAGTTTTTTTTTTCATTGAAGTGAAGGTTTTTTTAATTGAAAATATTTTTTTTGATTGAAGCAACATTTTTTTTGATTGAATAATAAAGACACAAATCTACCTTCATAAACTGACCGTTATTTTTTTTTCTACTTATTAGAAATGAGGTATTTATGGGCCTCTGAAGTCGAATAATGGGACATTTCTCCAAAATGCGACAGTAAAATGGTTTGATATGAGGTGTGTAAACTGTATGGGACGGCCCCTACAGGAACTGACAGTTATTTTTTACTACTTATTAGAAATGAGGTATTTATGGGCCTATAAAGTCGAATAATGTGACATTTCTCCAAAATGCTACAGTAAAATTGCTTGATATGAGGTGCGTGTACTGTGTGGGACGTCCCGTATAAGAACTGACCGTTCGTTTTTTCTACTTATTAGAAATGAGGTATTTATGGCCCTCTGAAGTCGAATAATGGGACATTTCTCCAAAATGCTGCAGTCAAATGGTTTGATGTGAGGTGCGTGTACTGTGTGGGACGTCCCGTATAAGAATTGGCCGTTCGTTTTTTCTACTTATTAGAAATGAGGTATTTATGGCCCTCTGAAGTCGAATAATGGGACATTTCTCCAAAATGCTGCAGTCAAATGGTTTGATGTGAGGTGCGTGTACTGTGTGGGACGTCCCGTATAAGAACTGACCGTTCAATTTTTCTACTTATTAGAAATGAGGTATTTATGGCCCTCTGAAGTAGAATAATGGGACATTTCTCCAAAATGCTGCAGTCAAATGGTTTGATGTGAGGTGCGTGTACTGTGTGGGACGTCCCGTATAAGAACTGACCGTTATTTTTTTCTACTTATTAGAAATGAGGTATTTATGGCCCTCTGAAGTCGAATAAAGGGACATTTCTCAAAAATGCTACAGTAAAATTGCTTGATATGAGGTGCGTGTACTGTGTGGGACGTCCCGTATAAGAACTGACCGTTCGTTTTTTCTACTTATTAGAAATGAGGTATATATGGGCCTCTGAAGTCGAATAACGGGACATTTCTCCAAAATGCGACAGTAAAATGGTTTGATGTGAGGTGCGTGTACTCTATGGGACGTCCCGCATAAGAACTGACCATTATTTTTGTCTACTTATTAGAAATGAGGTATTTACGGCCCTCTGAAGTCGAATAATGGGACATTTCTCCAAAATGCTACAGTAAAATGGTTTTTATATGAGTTGCGTGTACTGTGTGGGACGTCCCGTACATGACCTGAACATTGTTTTTTTTCTACTTATTAGAAAAGAGGTATTTATGGCCCTCTGAAGTCAAATAATGTGTAATTTCTCCAAAATGCTACAGTAAAATGGTTTGACGTGAGGTGTGTATACTGTATGGGACGTGCCCTATAACAATTGGCCATTATTTTTTTCTACTTATGAGAAATGAGATATTTATGGACCTCCGAAGTAGAATAATGCTACATTTCTCAAAAATGCTACAGTAAAATGGTTTGATACGAGGTGCGTATACTGTATGGGACGTCCCATATAAGAACTGACCGTCATTTTTTTCTACTTATTAGAAAAGAGGTATAATGGCCCTCTGAAGTCAAATAATGTAACATTACTCCAAAATGCTGCAGTAAAATTGTTTGATATGAGGTGTGTGTACTCTATGGGATGTCCCCTACAAGAACTGACAGGTAATTTTTTCTACTTATTAGAAATAAGGTATTTATGGCCCTCTGAAGTTGAATAATGGGACATTTGTCCAAAATGCTATAAAATTGTTTGATATGAGGTGATATTGCATGGGACGAATTGGCCATTAGTTTTTTTCTTATTACAATTTTTTTTGTAACAGACAGACAGACAGACAAACAGATAGATAGATAGATAGATAGAAAGAAAGAAAGAAAGAAAGAAAGAAAGAAAGAAAGAAAGAAAGAAAGAAAGAAAGAAAGAAAGAAAGAAAGAAAGAAAGAAGAAAGAAAGAAAGAAAGAAAGAAAGAAAGAAAGAAAGAAAAGATAGATAGATATATATATCGATCTGGGCAACTCAAGCGCTCTGAAGCGCGTTCTTCCTCTGCTGTGACTGAAATTACCGTATTCATAGTAATAGGCGCACACGCTTATTTTTTTAGCGGCTGGCTTGACCGTGTATTTTAGCACAGCAGCGCGATAATACAGCCTGCAGGATCATGCGGCCTATTTCTTTGCTAGACTATATTTATTTTACCCTTATTTATACGGCCTGTGGTTTACCTTCAGATTCTAAATGTAATACTGTTTACTCTTTACATATTACGAAATGAACCATTAGTCCTACTCAAATATTTCTGCATCATAGCTGAGGCTTATTGACTAACACTACGTTATGCATTGAATAGTCTCGATGGGAATAAACATTACATTTTCTGTTCAACAATCTGACAAACATAACACGATAATGAGACTGAATTGATGGTTGAACATTTTTGGCTTTATTTAGCACAGTAAACTTACCTTATCAGTCACACTTGAACATTTTCTGTCTCTTGTCTAATTTTCTGACTCTTAATCTAATTTCATGGTCGAGTGTTATCCTGCTTTGTCATACATAGTACAAAGAGTATTTTTTAGCGTATTTAATTTTTTCTCAACAAATTAAAATAAATCATAATGTGCCTGTATGTTGGGTGAACAGTTTATCAATTTGACCATTGTGCATTTATTATGGATAGATGTACCCGATGCACTGAAGACACAGTTTGCGACCCTACACTGTACAGTAATGTTTATTATGTTCCATCAGTACATTTTATGGACACCCCAGATCTACCTCTAGCACCCGCTGATCCATGTGACTCGGAAGCGGAAGACCTCAGTGATCCGGACGATGGAGAGAATGAAGATTTTGTCCCTCCACGCAGTATAGATTTACCGCCCCCTTCAAAGAAATCGAGGAATAGAAACAGGCTTGTTGAGGTGTCTTCAGACCTCAATCAAACTCCCTCCCCTCCCGCAAAGTCCAGGAAGACCAAATGGGTCAAAAAGGACATCCCGACCTTCACTCTGCCCGAGCCCGTCTTCGAGCTTCCAGAGTCGGTCCAGACGCCGTTTCTGTATTTTAAGAAGCTCTTTACTGACCGGACGATTGTGCACATGACTGAGCGTACCGACCGGTACTCGGTTCAACGGACCGGGACATCCGTCAACACCACTGCTGCAGAAATGGAGGTTTTCTTGTCAGTTTTGCTCTACGTGGGTGTTTTTGAATTTCCCTCTTCGGAAGATTACTGGGCCTCCCTGCGAGTCACGCTTCCCACCAGTGGCTGATGCCAATCAAGTGGATGTCAGTGAAGCGCTTCAAACTGCTCCGAAGATATGTCCACTTCAATGATAACTTCCAGATGGAGGGCTGCCCTGACCGCTTCCGTAAGACGCGCCCTCTTTTTGACCAAAGAACAATGCCTCCTTATTAGACCTCCTCCTTGGCGCCAAGGTTGTCTCAATACTCTGCGACACTATCGCAGTACACAAAGAGGCAACTGTGGTGTTCTACGACAACTTCTTTACCAGCTTCAACTTGGTGAAGACGCTGCACACCATCCTGGGACTGAGAAGTGTGGGTACCGTCAGGGTAAATCGCACAGGTAATGCACTTTCAGTGAATATGTTAGTCATGTTAGTTACACAATCACAACCAAATCAAACCATGCATGTGTAGCCCACATAAACTGTACAGGACTGAGATAGTTGCTGTGATTCTCCATTCCCCTAGATGGCGCTGCTTCACGTTTTATTGTCTGAGTCACTCTGTTGCACAGCTAAAGAAGACTGGGGATTTATTTTTTTTCCTACCCTCTCGTCAAGTGCATTGTGAGATGAAGACGGAGTGAGATAAATGTAGTAAAGCGGATCGCTTAACACACAGAATAAATAATTGTCAATGTTGTAAAAGCTTAAAGAAGTTTTAGTTATTGTAAACTGCCGTTTGCACTTTTGTTTTCCTTGCTTGTTTTAAGAATCTTCGGTGAGTACATCAGAAGTGAGATTTTCTGCTAGCATTTCATTTTAAGTTGATTTAAAACTATGAAACTATAATGTGCATTATGTGCACTTTGTTACTTTGTTATTCCTGTTATGTCTTTTGACAATGAAACAAAACCAGTCGGAGATAATTGATATGTTTATCTTCACTTCTACTGTTGTTATTTGAAACGCCATGCGTTCTCTTTCATCATCTCGTGTTCGAGATCCACCTATGGGAAGGGCATCCGTGTGCCCGCATCCAGTGCCCGATGAGGCCACACCCCTCACCCACGGGCATATAACATCTGGGCGCGCTGCTATTCCTCAGTTGACATTCGCTTCTCGCGACCTCGCGACCTCTGCACTGACACAGTTCGGTTGGATTAACGTTACGCTGTCCACTTTCGAGTCTACAGGAGGACATATCGCCAGATCAGCCTCCGCCAGACGTGAGTGACAGTCGTTTTTCTTCAGCCTGTCCGCTGTGTTTTTTGCATCCGGAGCCGCCGAGCTCTCACTGTCCTTCACCTGCTCCTCCTTTTTCCGAGTTCTTCACCGCTGGCCCACCCACGTGACCTATGTGACCGTCTTAACAGCCGCTTCCCCTGGGGAACAGTCCATCGCGACGAGCCTGCCCGGCCGCGTGTGGTGCTCTCATCGCCGCTAAGGACCCTCTCGTTCTGCGCGGTCCGCTTGGGCTTAGCACGCTCAAGGAGCTTTGGAGAACCCGGAGAATTGCGGTCATTGTAATTGCTGCCCATGTAGCTTTTTACAAAGCCGGCTTTAGTTGCACTATCCAGCGCACCGTGCTTGGCATTTCTTACTCGGATGGGGGACACGGTGATGATGACGCGCTACCGGGGGACTCCCGGAGCGCCACAGATAAAATATTTGAGCGGTATTCAGCCCAATCCGCATTCCCTGAAGAGGACATCTTCGCGGGAAAACCTCACTCTCGTTGACGAACCGGTACGGTTCCGGCGACGAGGATGACGCGGCCTTTCTAACGTTACCCTAAGCTAGCGCTCACGCGGTTTTGCCTCAGTCGATCCTCCTGGAAGCTTGTGAGCGAGCGGCCGTTCGTCTCAACATTGTGTGGCCAGCTCCGTAGAGCGCCACCGACCAGGATAGGAATATTTACGACGGGTAAACGCGGGTACCACCGCCCAGCCTGAGGAAACAACTCTTCAACGTTTTTTTTCCAGTGTTCGCGAAGCTCTCAAGCGCGCCTAGAGCCTCCCGCTAGACTGTCAACACTGTCTCACGGGCCTTGATGAGTAGGAAGGCGGCCCTGAACGCTAGCAGCCCGCCTGCTGTTCCACCATGGGAGCCTCCAGCCCGCGTTCACGGGCCACGAGCCCTCCGTATTCTCCCGGTCCCGGAACCCTTGTCCGAAAGACACGGGGTCTCCCTCGGACGGTCGGGTAATCCCGTCTCGTGGCTACCAAGCCACAGGGGGGCTGTTGTGAGGGAAAGTACATAAGCAGTGTTACCACACCGCAACACACTTGGTTCCCTCACCAAAAACGGTTATTAAAGGCTTGCCCCAGTGTTTCCCAACACAAAACACAAACTGTTATTAAACGAATCTAATGAATTCGTGCAGATTTTTATGTCTGTGTCAACATAGAGAGCAAATCTCTCTGATCCCTTGCATGTCGCCCCGAGTCCACCCTCAAGATGGCGCCATTGCCTCACAAATCAACCAGCTGGGCTCGCACAGCTCAGTTGCGGCTGCAAGCCATGTGCTTCTAGTGCACGTTGTGTGTGTGGAAGGCTTGGTCATTGTGTTTCCCAACACATAACCAAATACACGTTTAAACAAACTATTCTTCTATATCCCTAAAAACGGATAGTATTTTCTGCCTGCACTTGAGACTGCCCAGTTCATGTGTTCAGGAGATGTGTGTTTTCCCCCCAATTTCAGGGGGCTCCTTGTGGGTGAAAGTTTAGCACAGTGTACACCACACTATGTTTGCCCAGTTCACGCAGTGTTTGCCCAACACAAAACACACAAAACACAAATAATAACGAATCTAACAAATTCGTTTCGGAGGGAAAACCTCTTTCCGCAGAGAGAACCTTTCTCACCGCAGAGAGAGGAAACCCCTCCGAACCCCCGCATGTCGCCTCTAGTGTGCCCACGAGATGGCGCCATTGCATCACAAATAATTCTGTTGGTCTCAAGACACAGCTCTGCTCTGTCCCGAGCGGGGACACTCGCGAGTCACGAAGCGGCTTGGCGAACCGTTTCGGCTCCCGAGTGGGTTATGCGTACAATAATGCAGGGTTACAGATTGCAATTGGCAGTAAAACCCTCTCATTTCAACGGCATTCTCTTTTCTCACACGGAAGAGAAAGCTTCTCACATTCTGGAAGGGGAAAATTCATCTCTCTCTTAAACAAGGGAGCGATTCAGGCGGTACCCCCCGATCTGATGAACCAGGGTTTTTATTCCCGGTATTTTCTGGTTCCAAAGAAAGGCGGCTCTCTCCGCCCTATCTTGGACCTTCGAGTGTTGAACAAACATTTGAGGAAATACACCTTCATGCTGAATGCTGACACAGGGCGCACTCGCCCGTGCCATAAAACAGAACGACTGGTTCACATCAGTCGATCTGAAAGACGCTTTCTTTCACATAAGCATTTATCCTCCGCACAGGAATTTTCTTCGTTTTGCCTACCAGGGCATATGTTGCGAATTCACAGTTCTTCCGTTTGGACTCAGTTTGAGTCCCCGGTCTTTCTGTCTGTGCGCGGAGGCGGGCTTAACGCCTCTGAGAATAACAGGTCTGAGAATCCTACTTGCACAGACGATTGGCTCATCATAGCCGAATCGAAGGAGAAGGTGTCGCAGGACACCGGCCGTGTGCTCGCGCACATCACATCGCTCGGGTTCCGAGTGAACGTGGGCAAGAGCTATCTCACGCCCAGTCAGAATGTCAATTTCCTGGGTTTGGAGTTGAACTCGGTTGCCATGCGAGCGCGTCTCTCTCTAGAGCGCGTTCGCTCTCTATGAGCTGTCTGTCACAGTTCAGAGAAGGGGCGAAAGTGCAATATCGCACATGTCTCAGGATGCAGGGTCTCATGGCTTCATCCACCCAAGTTGTGCCATTAGGACTCCTTAAGATGAGGGCGTTCATGAAATGGGTTTTGTCGCTACATTTCAGCCCGATTCGCGCACTGCAGCCTTGCGCCATTGGAAGAACGCAGACTTTTACGCACGGGGAACCCCTCTCGGGGCGGTTACGATGCGGAAAGTGGTGACGACAGATGCATCCTTGACAGGCTGGGGTGCCACCCAGGAGGGCAAAACGGTGAACGGTCTGTGGCCAAACAGACTACGTTCAGCACATATACATTATTTAGAGCTTTTTACCAATTGGAAAGCCCAGAATCATTTTCTGCCTCGCCCGCAGGGACATCGTGTGCTGGTACGGTGCGACAATACCACGGCTGTGGCATACAGCAACCGTCAGGACAGCTTGCGCTCGTCGAAACTTCACCACCTAGCTCACAAGCTCTTGGTGTGGAGCAGACGGGTTTTCTTGGCATTCTGAACGTCGGCGCATATCCGCTGTCAAGGGGAAACCCAATCTACGGGATTGGCGTCTTCGTCCGCAGATGGTGGAAATGCTATGGATGAGATTCGGACGGGCGAGCGTAGATCTATTCGCCTCGCGCGTAAACTGCCATTGTCCTATGTTCTTCTCTCTAAGGGACATGGACGCGCCCCTCGGGGTAGACGCACCGGCCCTCCCATGGCCGAGAGTGCTCCTGTATGCTTTTCCTCCCCTGTGCCTGATATTCCCACATTGGCCAGGGTGAGAGAGCAGGGCCTGTCTCTCATTCTGATAGCACCCAGATGGCCCAAAGCACCGTGGCTGGCGGAGATGATCCCTCCGTTATACGCCGAGCCATTGTGCCTTCCCGTTCGCACGGATCTATTATCCCAAGCCAACGGTGAGATTTAGCACCCCCACCCGGACAGGTTGGCTCTCTGGGCCTGGCCCGTGAGAGGACGAACCTGAACGCACTTGGGCTTTCGCCGCGTGTGGTTACCACTATTCAGAATATGGCTGTAAGTGGCAAGTGTTCGAGGGGTGGTGTGATGGGCGCGGTATCGCATCTTATCAGTGTTCAGTTCCTGATATTTTGTGTTTCCTTCAAGACCTCATGGATAAAGGCAGGTCCTTTTCCACCATTAAGGTCCACTTGGCTGCTATTTCAGCCTGTCGTGTGGGTTTTGAGGGCTCGACCGTCGGTCGGCACCCTCTAATCCGCAGATTTATGAAGGGTGCACGCCGCTCTTTGCCAGTCATCAGGAGAACTGTCCCGGAGTGGGACCTCTCCGTGGTGCTCGAAGCTCTGTCTCAACACCCCTTTTGAGCCTTTGGATAGTATATCCCTTAAGCTGCTGTCTCTCAAGACAGCTTTGCTTTTGGCCTTGGCATCCGCTAAACGTGTCAGTGAGCTACATGCACTCTTCATAGTTCATCCCTCGTGCTCTAAGTTCTCTCTTAGTGGAGATAAGGTCTTCCTTAAGCCTAACCCGGCCTTCATGCCGAAGTGCTTCCCTGCGTTCACTTCGGAGGTGTTGGAGCTGTCCGCTTTTCACCCTCCACCTTTTACCTCTCTAGAGGATCAGAGGCTGAACGCTCTGTGTGACGAGGACGAATGCTTTCCGGAAGAGCGACCAGCTCTTTTTTTCATGGGCTCCCCCTCACTTAGGGAGTCCAATTTGGAAAAAGCAACGCCTCTCACATTGGGTTGTGGATGCTATTACCATGGCAAGGGAGTGCAGCCCCCTAGGGGCATCAGAGCTCATTCCACAAGAGGTTTAGCCACCTCTTGGGCTCTGTTTAGGGGAGTGTCACTGCAGGACATCTGCTCCGCTGCCAGTTGGGCTTCTCCTCATACCTTCGTGCGCTACTACCGGCTGGATGTCACCAGTACCTCGGTAGCACATTCGGGTCGTCTTAGCCCCTCCCTGCTGTAACCCTGTTGGGATATACCATTAAGGGTGAATGGGCTGACTGGCCATGTTCATTCCTGTCACCTATCATTTCTTCCCCTTTCGGGTATAGATTATGTCTTGGTGGGTTGGGGTTACTATCTCGCATGTGTCCCATGCGTATTTCATGTCCTGCTTGTCCACATTAGTTAGGTGTGGTTTCACCATCGCAGGCTCATGATTAAGGGACGTGTCAGGCACCGCCTCCCCGAGGTGACCGTCCTTCTCTGGCT